ATACTTCAAGAAAGTAGAAAAGAATCATGTGTGATCCTGTCCACACACCTGGCTAGTGCCTTGCTGTCCCTACCCATAGTAACGCATTGTTCAGTCTATCAATGTGAAAAATTGTGTAGATAAGATGATTCCTGTCTCACTTTCCCACTTTTCAGTGTTCTCTCTTTTGTGACTCCAGTTTCATCTAGTATAGTGGGAGAACCATTTGTTTCTCCAGTCCCAAGCTGCTGGGGTGAACGATTTCAAGAGTTCCCCTTTGGGTCAGTGTAAATACACAAGTATGAAACTGATTGGATACACCCATCGATCAGAATTAGGGCTAGGGTGTTTACCTGACAGTGTAGAACAGGCCATCCCCTAAACTGGTGGTATGCAAGATGGTTGGGTCTTGTGTTCTTCTTGCAATTCAGGGCAAATAAGATTTTAGGTTGAATACAAGTCCAGAGAGATTACAATTTCATTGCTTATGTCATTGAGTAGGTCAAATTTGGAGTATTGTGTTCAGTCTTGGGTGACTTACCTTAAGAAGGACTTTGAATTGTTGGAAATGGTTCAGAGGAGAATCTACTAGAATGGTGTCTGGGATGGAAGGGTTGTCATATGACAAGAGGTTAAGACCTATGAAAAAGAAGACTTAGAGGGGATCTGATTGAGGTGTTTAAGATTGTAAAGGGAATTCATAATGTTGATGCATCATATTTTTTTCATACTTGACAGTGAGAATAGTAGGACTAGGGGACACAAACATAAGTTTTATTTTTCTAACAGGATCATTGGCCTCTGGAATGGGTTACCTTTAAATGTTGTGAAGGAAGTAAATTTAAATGAGTTTAAGAAAAACATGATAACTATGAATGATAAGGACTGGCTTTGAGTATTTTATTTTTAATTTTGCAGTTTAGTTTACTGAATGGGATGGTCTAGATACACCAATAGGTCCCTTGTTGTATGTATTTATGTACATAGCTTGACTTGTTACCCTAGCCGCTGTACGTATACATGCTCTGCCTACTCCTGAGATATACACGCCCTTTGAACAGTCTCTACCTTCTGCATATTTATACTTTAGCAATAGTCAGAAGTTTCTTTTGACAAAACACTTTGCTCTACCAGCTTTCTTGGTTAAAGAGTATTCCTTGCATGAGATGGATGCAGTCTCCCACTAAATGGTATCCCCCTA